GATAATTAGATAGTTTTAGTGTTGTTTATTATTTCTATTGGATAATATTTTGATTTTAATTTAATTTTTTTTTTTTTATAAAATTTTGTCACGCCTATTAAATTGTCGATTATAGAGGTTTCGCACTGTATAAGTGATATTTATCTTATATGTAATTTATTAAATAAGTATTATATTACAATTAATCAAATAATTTATAGTAATATTTTTAAGTCTATTCTATTACCTAATTAAATAATTTACAACCTATTTAAATAATTAAAATTATTAAATAAACTAAAAAATTAAATAATTATTTATATAAAATTTATAAAAATAATAAATAAGTTTATTAAGTAAACCTAAAGGTTAGCAGATAATCTAAATAATAAAAGATAAAATTAAGAAAATTATATTCTAAAATCTTATTAAAAAATTTGTAAATTCAGAAAAAGATAAATTATATTATAAACAATTTTTATTAATAAAAAATTAATTTAGTAAGCATTTATTTTTTAAAAAAATAATAGATCAGAATTTATTTATATATATTTTTTAATTATTAAATTTTATTTTACACAATTTAAAAAAATTCTTATATTAAATCTTTATAATTAAATTTGTAAAATATTATATTTTTAATTTATTATTTTATAAAAATTATATAATTATATAAAATCTTTTAAACTAAAATTTAGATATTTTATTTAATTAAACAAATAATATTAAATTTTGCTTTATATATGTTTTATAAATTCTATATTTTTTTTTTTTTAAATAAATATTAATATAATACTTAGTATATTTTAGAAAAATATTAATATAAAACTTATTAAATTTTTTTATTATTTTATATAAAATTTATAATAAATTAAAATTTTAAATTAAAATAAATATTATATTAAATCAATTAATAAATTTAAGATTATATAATTATAATAATTTATTAATCATAAACTTTAATACTTATTTAAAAATAATTTATTAAATATATTATTTTTATAAAATATAACAATAAGTTTTATTAGAAAAAGTTTTGTAATAATTATAATAATATAAGATATCAATAATTGATATTATATACAATATATTAATTAGTATAAAATAATTATTTTTATCTTTTGATATTTTTTATTAAAATTATATATAACTTTATTTGTAACAAAATTATATTATAAAATTATTAATAAAAAAAATAAAAATTTATATTATTTTTTATAAATTTATTTTTTAAAGCTTTAAATAATTATTATGATTTTAAACTTTATGAAAAGTTTTCTAGGAAAATAGAGCTCTGGGAATTTTTTTTGACTAAAATTAAGACCTTATTACATTTTAATCCAATAATATCAAAATTAAAATGCAATAAAAAAACAAAATTTTGTTAAAAAATTCTCTGAGTCACATTTTCCTAGCAAACCTCTCATATATTTCTTTTATATTTAGTATTATTAAAAATATTACTAGTTAAATTAAAAAGTTTAAATTAATAAAATATTAAGAACTTGATTTTCTAACCATTATTAGAACATTTGACACAGAAATAATAATAACATTCTGTTCTAATTTTTACTATTAAAATCTTATTCTAATTGTATATACGAATGATTTTTTTGTATTCAAAAAGTCGTGATCTAATATCTTAAATCAATATCGTTATAAAGTAATAAATAATAAGGAAGAAATTATTTAGAAATTGTTTATTATCATCCAATGTGCTTTGAACGTGTTAAACGAATATAAATTTTTTTATTCTAATAAGTAGCAAATACGTATAATACGAAAATAGTTACACTAAACTCCTTATGGAATAACAAGAAAACAAAAATTCAATTCTGGTCTAAAATGATTTTTTTCGTAAGACAAAAAAAATAAATTTCTCACTTGCAATCTTTGGTTAAATATCGGTATGCTACTTCAGAGGCAGATTCTTTAGCATCCATTTTCCTATTAAAAGCTTCTCCTTTAAATAAATAATCTTTTACGCTAACTTTACAAACATACCCATCAATACCATTCTCAAAAGTGAAGTCTGGTCGTAACCAACGTTTTGATTGTACCATTTCATATAATAAACTGGTGTATTTTTTGTAACCTGCATTTTTGGTTGAACGTTGATAAGGATGAAAAGAAATTGTCGATGACGAAGTATTTTGCTGTTGACTTCTTGTAGAATTAGAATTAAAATTAAAATTATTGCTACCTTCTTCAAATTTATTATTTGGTATCTCTGCAAGCGATGAAATTGAATCTTCGATTTTGATATTGGGAATGTCTTGATCAAAGGTTAACAAATTATTTGAATTGATTTCATTTAAATATTGACTTCTTGTAGAATGAGAATTAAATTTAAAATTATTGCTACCTTCTTCAAATTTATTATTTGGTATCTCTACAAGCGAATCTTCAACTTTGATATTTGGAATGTCTTCATCAACAGGTAACAACAAATTATTTAAATTGATTTCATTTAAATGTGAACTATTGAAAATAGAACTTGTACTTGATGTTATGTCACTTTCATTTAAATTTGTTTCTTGTCCATCCTCTTGAAATTTTCTAATTTGAAATTTCTCCGCATTACAATATTCCTTGTACAATGCATGGAATGCCATATTAGATACGTAATCTTTTGAATCATTCACCCTTAGAAATCCCTTATCCCCTTTAAATGTTCTCTCTCCTATTATACAATCACATAAAGTATTTCCTGTATAATCATTACGTGGTTGATAAATTGGATTTGGCAAATGATGCATTTGACAAAATTCTAAAAGGATAACACGAGGTTTTTTTGTTGGAGAATCATTCAATTGTTTTCTATACCAACTTTCCGATTTACCAATGATGTCTGTTCTATTTTCAAGATAATTAAGATGTAGATTAATTATAGAGCTTCCACCATCAGATGAAATAATTTCATTACGTAAAGCCATTAAAGCAGCATCTTCTTTTGCTTGTTGCTTTTTTATTGTTGGACGTTCTGTTTTGAAAACTTTGCCAAAAATTTCAAGTTGACAATAAAAACGTCCAGTTGTAGGATCAATGGTAAAAGAATAGTTTGGTGGGAAACTTGATTTTTTCTCTCTTTGATATATCTCATTCAATATTGAAATTGGATTTCCAATTGCAACTTCTTCGTTTGGCATTTGTTTATTTAATTTTTGTGTGTTTTGCGTTTTATTAAAACTTTGTATTAAAGTCGATGATGTATTTGTAATCATAGGTACTTTTATTTCGCTGAGTCCATGTGAGGACGTATTAGAGCTCGAAGATGTATCATTTACAGAAGAAAAAAGTGGTTCTGCCCCTAAATTTTTTAATAAAGAATCGATTTTCTTTGAATGATAAACCATTTTAATTATATACGAAGGGGAAAAAAAGGTAACGAAAGGGATATAAAAAAAGAAATTGGCCACACAGGGTACTTTTATAGTTGCAACAATTATAAGCCTTTGTTAGGCTGATGTATTATGAATATCCCGCAGTAGTTTCCAAATTTGATAACCGCCCTAAAACCAAATATTTTTGAATATTACAAATATAAACAATACAATAGGAATAACACTATTCTTAATTAGGTAGTCTGGTTTTTGTCTCGGAATTAGCACGAGGGCGGAGTAATAACGAAAGAAGTAGAGTATAATTGACCGAATGAATATTGTTCGGTGAGATGTTGGAACCATGTATATATATTATTGTAATGTATAATTTTATATTTAATATTTTAATACAACAATTGCTTTACTAAATTCTAAGTTTCCAATGTGAAATTTTATTGAAAAAATTTTCTTTTATATATAAAAAATAATAATTCCATGTTCGGAAAATTTTAACTATATGAAAACACCGTTTTTTACCTTGGGCCGATTTGGCTCACTTCACTAATGAGTTTTGATCGACATGCCAAACTAGTGAAAATAGTGACAAATTTGGGGCTAAGCTAATGAAAATTGATTTTTAGTAAATGACGATTTTCTAATATTAAATAAGTCGAATTAAAATTTTACTATTACACACTTTAATACGTTACACCTGATCCCAGTTTCTGATTGGCCATATCACGCGTGCGGACATTTCAGACAATTATTTTGTAAAAATTTCTTACCTACAGGATATAGTTATACTAATAATTTTATTAGAAACCACAGATTATTTGATTACAGTTGGCTTCACTTTTAATAAGTCACGTCTGATTAAGCCAATCAAATTAAAATTTCACATGGTGACGTAATGATCATACTATGGCAAAGGTTACTCTTGTATAATTATAAGTACTTTATAGAATAATGGTGTCTGTAATGTTAAGACTTTGCACAAATTAACCTCTTTCCTATATTCTTTTATATATGATTATATCAAAACACTTTAAACCTTTACTTCGTTATAAAAGAACTTTCTCCTAAAAAATGTCATTTTCTTGATCATTTTATTTTAGCAAATAAATTTTCAACATATGCTAAACTTGCAAATATTTTGAACAAAAATTACATCTACCTTAATATAACTGATTAGATTGTACTTAATAAACTTAATAATCTTAATTATGTCAATATTATTCTAAAATCTATATCTTTGTTAACAGAAATTTAAAAGCAGCATAAAATGGAGTTTGTTATGAAATATAGAAGGCAAAATTGGAATAAAGTTATTTTTTTTTAATAAAATCACATTTTAAATATTTTAAATACCCAAAAAGTCTTTTATAAGGTTGATACATAATCTTTATACAAGCTTATAGTAAAACATTTATATAAAGTTCATGTATAGGATATTTTTTCAGTAAAGGTTTGATTGGTTTTAAAGGAAAAATAAATAGAAATTTTTACCGTAAAATTTTGATTAAAAATCTGTTTAAAAATACAAATTCTATAATGAGAAGATCTAATAAGACAACAATTTTAAATACATAGCTAAGAAAACTAAGAAACTTCTTTTTGTATATTGTCTAAGATTATTAGACTAGTCATTAAATAGTCCAAACTTCAATTCTATCAAAAATTTATAGGTGATTTTGAAAAGGTATGTAGAAAATAGATTAACAAGTTATTCTTAAAAAAAATGTTATTATAGATATTTTTTGTAAAATAATTCAAGAGAAATAGAAAGGAATTGAGCTAGAAATCTTTTTTAATTTAGTTTGTAATATGAAATTAAAGTTAGAACTGGTAATTTTAAATGATGGTAATAAGCTATCCTATTAATTATTATTATACAAAAGAAGAATAAATGATGATAATCAAAAGGATGATGTCGATTCTTAGGAAATTATATATGTCTTATATATCTTCTGTGTCATCTATGGCATCTATTTCTTTTATATATTATATTTCTTTTATTTATTTATTTTATTTATCTTATATATTTATTATATTTTATTTATTTTATATATCTTATTTATTTCTTTTATATCTTTGGTAACTTTATATATTTCATTTTATATAAATAGAGAATATTTTCTTTTAGCTTAGCAGTGTATCAGATAAATAATAATAAGATAATTTAATTTAATTCTCTTAACATATTTGTATAGTACAGAGTGCTGATAGAGGCAGTACTTCATTTGTTATAATTATTAAATAAATCATCAATTAACTGACGTTCTTCTAAATCTAATTACAAAATAAATTTTCTGCTTACCACCCATAAATATTGCTTCGCTTATTATTCATAAGTATCTTAAAGAATTGACTATAATACTATTATTAAATAAACTTATTTACAAATTTACAAAGAATATGTATATAAATTTTTATATGTTTATAATATTTATTTATGTTTTAATTAATAAAAATATGATTTTGATTACTTTTTTTAATCACTATAAAATTTTATATTTGGTATTAAGAAGATAATATAATTATATACTTACTTCTTTACTTTTTTCTTTCTAACTTTATTGTTAATCATAAAATTTTTAAAAATACTATTATTAAACTTATGCTGCTTATTAATTTTAGATATACAGTCAACTCTTAATATAGCGAACTCTTAATATAATGAATTTTTTGATAAAAATACTCTTATTATAATGAATTGGTCAATCAAATCTCTTAAAATCTTTACTATAACCTTATAGCAAAATTGAGGTCTAGAACATAGAATTCATTATAATAAGAGTTAACTATACAGTCAATTTTCTTTACAATCATATTTATCAAAATCACTTTATATATAAAGTTATGCTTATATGTAATTATATAATTTTTAAAAATTAAATTATCATATTATATTATATTATATCTATAGTTTATCTTTATTTTATTATCTATATTTTTATTATTTTACTACTTAGTTATTTAATAACTAATTTTTTTTTTTAAATCTTTCAACATTTTGGCTAGATTTAAAATGGTAAATTTATTTCAATTTCTTTTCTTCACTTTATTATTTCTCTTAGTTATTATTTAACAACTATTTTCTTTTTTTTTTAATTCTTTAGTATTTAGTTAAATTCAAGATAATAAGTTCATTTATTTTTTTTCTTCTTTATTTCATTTATTCTTTCATTTGATAATTAATTAATAACTAATTTTTCTTTTTTTTTTTTATCTTTAAACTTTTCAGCTAAATCTAAAATGATAAGTTCATTTTTTTATTTTATTTTATTTTTTTATTTACCTTATTTTTTTAAATATTATTTTTAGCTTTTTAGTTTTAGATTTTAAATGAATATAATTAGCTTTATTTTCTTATTTTATTTTATTTTTCATTTATTTAAAATTTCTAAATTCTTATATTCTTTTTTTTTTTAAATATAAGACGATGATCAGCTTATATTAAACTAATTAGATTAAGTAGAACTATTGATTAACTTTAATTTATGTGAAAAATTTAATTTTTATTTAATAAAATTTACTGATCTTTGATACTAAATTTTACATGATTTATTATAATAATTAAATATTATTGATCAAATAAAGTTTATTAATTTATTAAAAAATTTATTAATAGTTATATTTTTGATTTATTATTATTATTATTTTTAAATTCATACTTTATATAAATTTTTATTAAAAAAAAAGTTTTTAAAAAAAACTTTAATAAATTAATTTAATTAATTAATACAAAAATTATATTGTAAAAATATTTTTTTTAAATACTTATATTTTTACTCTTTGACTTCTAACCATTTACCTTTATAAACTTAACTTTAATTTATAGATTATTACCTTATATGTAAAAAAACTCATTTATAAGTTTATAATATAAACCCTTTTATTTCAATAAAATTAGATTATCAATTATAATCATTCTACTATCTTTTACTTTAATTATTTACAAATATTTTTAAAATATTTTTAAATCTTTAATATTATATATATTTGCTATTCAAAGTAATTTATAAATATTTTTAACTTATCAGTAGCTTTATTAACTAATATAAAAGAAATTTCTTTTTCTTCTTCAATATTACTTGCTTTTTTTTCTTCAGTTAATATATATTAATTATTTGTTTATCAATAAGAAATTTCTTAGTTAATATGTTTTGATCAAGTATTTGAAAATATTCTTATATTTCTTTTGTATTTAGTAAAATATCAAGAAGACCAGCAATTTTCTCATTATCTTAAATACTTATATTATTATTAATAAAATCATTGTTAGATAAAAGTATACTTATTTTATCTAATAATTTTAAATAGTTATTGAAGTAACATTATCTAAACTTTAGCAATATAATCTATTGCTTTTTTAATATTTAACTTATTACTAAATAAATAAATAAAATTAATTTATTATATTTTATTAAAATAAAAAATAATCAAAATTTTATAACTTACTTTATATGATTTATCCTAGAATTAAATTTATGATTAGATATCTATAAAGCTCTTATTTATATTTTACTTTAAAGTTATAAATAATATCAGTATTTATAAATTATAAATATATAATAGTATTAAATAGAAGATAAATAAATTTAATATTTATAAGAGTAATATTAGGTTTATTTTACTTTTTTTTATTTTTCTTTGATTTTATAACTAGATTCTTTTTTATTATTAGATTTATTTTCAGTAGTATTATCTTTTTTCAAAAATTTTTGAATTAATATAAAAATTAATATTATTAATAAAAAAATAAAATCTTTCTTTCTAATATTTAAAGATAATAATCAAGATCTTTTATTTATTTAATAAATATATCAGACTTTAAAGCTAGCTTGATAAGTAATAAGAAGTGCTGAATTATTAAGATATTTAAAATATTGAAAAATAAGAGATTTTCTAATTATAAGAAAATAAAACTTATGGAAACCTGTTATATTACACAAAAAAATATATAATTAACTCTTATTATAATAAATTCTATATCCTAGACCTCAACTTTGTTATAAGGCTATAATGAAAAT